CTGCTGCTCACCATGTGTTACCTGTCCATGCTGTATGACCTAAGTTTCAGGAAAATTGTCAGTGAGTTTTGCTCTTACCTCTGTCCGTGGGTAGGCAGTGGTGCTACTTATAAAATTGAGGCTTTTGTTTTCTAGACACATCTCACTAAGACTTAAACGGAATCATTTTTTAGCTGCCATGACAAATACCAAATTGGGGCGAGTCTCTTTAACACAGAACCTTTATATTGTGTGTTGAAGTTTTAAGTGCTATGGACGCCTTTGGTTAACACAGGCTGCGCTCAGATTAGCTTTAGCTTTTGTTTGTTTGTTTGTTCTGTTTGTTTTGAGACTTGGTCTCATTCTGTGGCCCTGACTGGTCTGGAACTGGCCTTGAATTCACACGCGCCTGCCTTCTGCCTCCATTGAGTGCTGGGTTAAAGGAGTGTGCCACCACGCCCAGTTCTTGGCTTCAGGACTCACATGTTGTGCTTTGAGTCCAGTGTTGACTGTGACACACTGACTTACTTCAACAATAACTATTGTTTGACAGATTTTTTTTGTACCTTCATTTTGATACAATTTCTTAAAAATCATTTCCTAATGACCATCATTTTTCTTCCCAAAGTTTCTTTCAGACCTACCATTTCAGTTTGATTTTTCCCCTTTATTTTATCATCTGTTTGTCACCTTTTTGACTATGTTCTATTTAAAAAATTTTATGTGTCTATTGCATATATTTATGTATGCCATTTGTTCAGTTGCCCAAAGAGGTCAGAAGAGGAAATTGAACCCCCTAGACCTGGAGTTATGATGGTTGTGAGCCTCTCAGTGTGGGTGCTGGGAACTGAACTTGGGTCCTGAAAGATCATGTGCTCTTCATGCCTGAGCCATCTCACTAGCCCCTATGTTAAGTTTAGATAAAACTGGCTGGGTGGTTGGTGGTGCACTCAGGAGGCCGAGGCAGGCAGCTCTCTAAGTTTGAGGCCATCTTGGTCTACAGAATGAGTTTCAGGACAGCCAGGGATATCCAGAGAAATCCTGTCTCAATAAACTAAAAAACAAAAAGAAAAAAAAAAAAAAGAAAAAAATGTAGATAAACCCTTCTGTGTCATTTTGCTACCATGCCATTAGCTCATTGACATCATAATCTACCCCCACCTCCCCGTTTTTCTTTTTTGAGAATTGTCAACCTTATATATATATTCATAGATGTGTACAGTTTTGTTGGTGGTGGTGGTGTTGTTTTTAGTTCATGAAAAACTCTTTTGCCAGGCATGGTGGTGCATACTTTTAATCCCAACATTTAGGAGGCAGAGGTAGGTAGATCTCTGTGACTGCAAGGTCAATCTAGGCTACATAGTGAGACCTTGTCTCAACAACAACAACAACAAAAAACATTTTTTTTCCTTCAAGTTCTTTTATCTTCAGATAGGAACTGAGTGACATTTGCATTTTCTCTTTATTTCAGAAGATGATGCCAGGACAGAAAATGGAGCCCTGGCTCCAAAGCAGGAGACTGCCTCAGCTGCAGAAGCTCATGATGTTCCTGGCCCTCTTAATATAGGTGTTTCTCAAATCTTTAAATATGGAGAAACCTGTTTTCCCAAGGGCAGATTTGAAAGAAAGAGAAATCCCTCTCGAAAGAAACAGCACATTTGTGACGAATGTGGAAAACACTTCAGCCAGGGCTCAGCCCTTATTCTTCATCAGAGGATCCACAGTGGGGAGAAGCCTTATGGATGTGTCGAGTGTGGAAAAGCCTTCAGCAGAAGTTCCATCCTTGTGCAGCACCAGCGAGTCCATACTGGCGAAAAACCTTACAAGTGTCTTGAGTGTGGGAAAGCCTTTAGCCAGAATTCTGGGCTTATTAACCATCAGCGAATTCACACTGGGGAGAAACCTTATGAATGTGTTCAGTGTGGAAAATCCTATAGTCAAAGTTCAAATCTTTTTAGACATCAGAGAAGACACAATGCAGAAAAACTTTTGAATGTTGTGAAAGTTTAAGAAATTAGGGGAAACGATAAGCACTCAGGTCTTTTTCTTCAGAAATGAAGACAAAATTAAAAACATGAAGTGATACAGAAAAGATTTTTTTTTCCCTGTTGACTGAGAAAATTCATTGGGAAATAAAAAAAAAAAATCTTCATTCACCATTATTATTGTGAAAGAAATGGTGTTATGCCTAGAAACTGAAATTTTAAATAATTCAGGTGTTAATACCTAAATTTTCCATGTGATGTTTATATTCTCTTTTTTCCCCCAAGTAATGAGCTACCTGATTCTTTATCCCTTTCTAACAATTTCCTTTTTCAGACAAATACTTTATTTCTGTGTTGGTCATTGGAATGTTTTGTAAGGATATATACCTTTCTATTTTAAAAGGCAACATAGGAATTGTAAAATCTAAAAGCCCATCTTTAAGCATTTAAAAACATCTTTGGAAATTTAGTTCCTTTTGTTCAGTTTGAGTATGTTTGGGGGAAATAGAAGATAAAGGCTGGCCAAAGCGTCAGTGTGAAGTGAGCCTGAAGATCCCAGGTGAGCGGTGAGGGTGAAACTGCAGGAGTGAGAGGGAGAAATTACACACTGAAGTGCACCGGTCAAGCAGAGCCATCCTTCTAAAGGAAAACTTACAACCAGACAAGAAACTGAGTCTGTTTCATGTGTGGGCATCTTACTAATGAAAGCAGTTTGCCTGTGTAAAAGTGAAGGTAAATATAACACTAAGGAAGAATTCGTATGAATGCTGGTGTTGAAAAGCAAGTGTAAAATTAGGGCAATTATATGATGTGGCTTTTAGGGAAAACTCACAAATCCTAGTTAAGGATAGGAAATTCCTTGATGAGAGGGCAACACTATCAGGTTTGCTCTTTATTCCTTTGGTACAAAAGGGTTGAACAGCAGGCTAAAACAGCCACGCATTATTATTAAACGTTTCCACCGACAGTGCACTGTGCTAGGTACTGTAAGCCTACTCTCAGTGGGGAGGCATCTGTTCCACTGTAAGTCATAGGGGTTCCCCATCAGCATTCCCAGGTCACCTCTGAGATTCCCAGAGTTGTAGTTCTCTAACACGTGTGTTGTGCTTAGAGGGAGAGACGTCAGCTCAGAAAGCTAGCTAGCTAGTCAGTCCTTAGCACTTTTCAGAGGTGAGTTCAAGATACACTCTTAGTTTGAACATTTTGAGTCTTAAAAACCCCAGTGTAATTTCTAGGAGCATTGCAGTTCTAACTACATGTTAAGTTGAATGGACTGTTCTACTTTAAAAATAAACAACTAGGCTATTAATAACTAGTTTATTAACTGTCAGAATTTATTGAATTTTTTTAATTTACAGTCTTAACACATTTTTTAAAAACCATATTAAAAGTAATACATTTTATTCGTAGGATTCTGTATGCCTTGGCTAAGAATCCAAGTACTGTGATTCTACTGTTTAATGGAAAACTCTGGAAGTTAAAAGCATTGAGTGTAAGAAGAGGGTTTTTTTTTTTTTTTTTTTTTTTTTTTTTATGTAAGACAGGCATCATTACATGGAAAATGATCCATGGGAGTACATATATTTCCAGCAATTTGGGTTATATCTGGTGCTTGGTCAAATTTTAAAATGGAAAGTGAGATTTTTGTGTGAGCCTATTGAAAAACAGTAATAAATGCAATGCCAGCTGATGAAGTAAGGCAGAATGAAGCTTGTTCGTAGATTTCTGATAACAATTATAAGAAATGTGCTTTATAGATTTAAGATTTATTGAAGTATAAATATGTAGTATGCTATAATGTATTTTTAAGTTATACAAGAAAATGTAGGGACTTTGGTTTGGGTCTTTTCTCTGTGGCGGAGAGGAAACACATTACTGTCAATAAAGCTGTAAGCTCCTCTGCTCTAAGATACAGTCACCCGGAATTGCTGTACTTGTTATTTATGGCTGGCTCTCTCCAGTAGGTGTTTGAGGTGGCACATTTGAATGACTGCTGGGGTGACAGAGTTCTTATTTCAGAGTAACCTCTCAGGGTGGAATGCCAGACTTAACAGTTTTAGGGCCCAAACTGTTTGGTCATGTGAAAGCACAGAAGAGGTGGTACTAGAGTTGGCAAATATGTGTTGTCTTGCTGGCTCTGACACCTGTGTATCTGTTGGGAAGGAAGCTCAGACAAGGGGCTAGTCTAAAATCCCTCATGGTATACAGGAAAAGGAAGCAGTGGGTTTTATACTTAATTGACTCTGGCAAGTCGTAAGTTCCCACTAGACATTAATTTACAGTAACACTGATTGCTGACTTCAGACCTGTCCCCACACAGATCATCATCATTTGGGGGTACCCAGACTAAAGAAGGCATGAGCAGGTGCCAAGTAGTGGCCTAACTAGTACCTTTCTGGTTAGCAGATGAGCAGTTGTATGAAGGCATGCGTACCAACTGGCCCAACAGGCTGTTTGGTCGTTTTATATATTCACAGATGTTTGACCATTAGCAGCCTGTCTTACATCTGTGTGACCTTAGGAGGAGGTTACCTGTACTGAGAAAAATGTGCATGCTAAGTATTGGATTGAAATACTTAATCTCATCCAGATTTGTGGACTAGAAAAACAAGACCCAGTGATCTTGGAACTTGGATCTTGTGACTTGGAAATGGCCAGTTAAAGCTAAAACACACCTAGTTCTGTGGATTCCTGAGGCTGGGTTTTTTTGTTTGTACTGTCAGGAGTGATGGTGTTAGCCGGGTGGTGGTGGCTTACACCTTTAATCCCAGCACTTGGGAAGCAGAGGCAGGCAGGTGTCTGTGAGTTCGAGGCCAGCCTGGTCTACAGAGTGAGTTCCAGGACAGCCAGGACTACACAGAGAAACCCTGTCTTGGAAAAAAAAAAAAAAGAAAAAAAAAAGATGGGCATTCAAATCCTGTTTAGTACCAGTACATCTTTTGTTTAACGAACTTGAAAGTTATTATATATACCTATTTGAAATGTTCACAATGCAGAAACAAAAGATGAAAAAAAGACATCAGATTTAGCCAGAAATGGTGGTAATCTGGTTTATTGTCCTTCCAAATTTAACTCTATACACGTTTAAACAAACATCTTTTAAAATAACAGTCTTGGGTTGAGTATAGGTACCAACTAACGTGCTTTACTCCTCAGCAAACCTGAGGGAGATAATATCTCCACTGTACATCCATTGTAGTGAGACTGCTTTCCCTCCCCACACTGATGTGGACGTTTTCCATAGTCACCTAGTATTCTGTTACATTAGTACACTCATGGTCCATCTAACCAGCCCCATACCGATGGGTTCGTAGGTTCTTCAGACATAACAGATTGACATTTCATAAACATACATCTTACTACCCATGTAGTTGTCCCCATAACACAGATAACTAGAAGTGGATTCATTGGGCCAGGGAGTACGTATTTTGACACTTTTGAGGAAATAGTTGTAAAAGTTAGACTAATTTTATAACTCCTTTAATAGTAAGAATGCTCATTTGCCTGCATTGCACTCCTCAGGGCTGCATCCAGAAAATGTGTTGCTCATCCTACAGGCCAGTTCTTTGATTTTTTATTTGTGCCTTTATTAGTAAGAAGGAACATTTTTTTTTTTTTTGTTCATTGGCTGTTTTAATGTCCTGTTCTGGTCTTGTTCATTTCTTTTCTTTCTATTATGAAAGTGTAAATGACTGCAGTTAACATCATACAAAACTGAAGATAGACAAATGTGAGAGACCATTTTCCCCAGGTCAGTTCCACTTTCCACTTCACATTCTAGTACAGCTTGTACACATTTCTATGTGAATATACAGAAATGTGGACACCTTTTAAATAAACAGGATTATATGTGAATTTTAAGACATCGTCTTATGTATTCTGGTCTTTAAATTCCTGGATGGTTGGCTGTAAAGCATTTACTGTCTGACACATCTGTAACACTTCAACGTTGCAAAGTGCTCATTTCCCCACATAGCCTTACCTACACTTGAAAGTCCTTATCTGTTTGGGAAGAGAGAGAAAAAAGAAACCTTCCTTATCTGCATTTCCCTGATGAATAGTGAAGTTGTTCTTTCTGCGTTTATTGGTCATTTATAATCCTGAGGATTGTTTGTTCACAGCTTCTTTTGCCTTTGTATTGGGTTATGTGTGGGTATCTGTTCAGCATCCCTTCCCTCATTTATGGTAACAGTATCCTTATTTATTGTGGTTAACCCATTCCATATGGCTTTGGTGAGCACATGACCAGGCCTAGCCTCCTGAGCCACACTAGCCCCAGTGATTAGAGAGTGGGCATGTAATTTGAAGCAGGCTAAGAAGAGTGTTCAGCAGAACTGCAACTACTGAAAAGAAGGCTTTGGAGCTACTGGAGACCCAAGGACGATGTGAGCCTGCATTTTTACTATGTGGAGAAAGTCTCTGAGGAGAAACTCAGAGGCTAGCAGAGATGGTGAGAAAACTAAGTTCTGATACCATTTTTCTGGAGGCCCTAGATCCAGTTGTGCCTAAAGCCTGCCCTACCTCTGGACTTTAAAGTTTTGTGAGCCAATAAAGTCCCTTTCTTGTTTAAGATAATTGTATTTGGCTTCTGTCCTGATTAATATAGGGTATTTGTATTTTCTTAATGATTTGTAGAAAGCCTTTGTAGTTTTAAATTCTAGATTCATGCATTATATAAGTTAATAAAGTCAGCAATGGCCTTTTATGATTTGGGCTCTGTCAACCTCTGCCATGTGTTACTTTACTATCCTCCCTCCCCAATTCACACACCATTCCCATACTTGACATTCTAACATTACTTAGTGCTGGCTTCTGTGTCTGAACATTGCCTCCAACAGTACTCTTCTCTCCAGATTCATTTGGGTCCAAGTGTGTTATACTGCTGACTCTTTTAGTTAGGGCTTCCAGTGCTGTGATAAGATACCATGACCAAAAGCAACTTGGGAAGAAAGGATTTATTTCTTCTTACAACTCTCAGGTTACTTGAGTTCCTGCCCTGACTTGACTTCTGTCTCTAGTTAAGTCAGGGCAGGAACTCCAGACAAACACTTGAAGGCAAGAACTGATGGAGAGGCCATGGAGGAACGCTGCGTTTTGGCTTGTACCTAATAGCTTCTTGAACCTGCTTTCTTACAGCACCCAGGACCACCAGCCCAGGGGTGGCACTACCTGCAGTAAACTGGACCCTCCCCCATCAGTCATCAATCCAGAAAATGCACCACATGCTTGCCCACAGGACAGTATGGTGAGGGTACTGTTTCAGTTGAGATTCCCTCTTCTGAAGTGACTCTAGCTTGTATCACATTGACAGCCAGCACACTGATGGACCTAGCTAACACTGCTCTTAGGACACTGCCTTCAAATTTCTGCATGTGGTCCTTGGAGCCCTTCACAATTACCTTTACCCAACATGGGTTTTGGGGGAGGGGCATTTTATTCTAGGTCCATGGTCTTGAAGCTGTACGAGCCCAGTACCTAATTTGGGGGAAAGAAACTTAAGCAAGTCTATGGGGCATTTTCTTGATTGATTTTTGATGTGGAAGGGCACAGCCAATTGTGAGTAGTGTCGCCCCTGGTCTGGTGGTCCTGGATGATCTAAGAATGGGAAGCTGAGCAAGCAGTGAGTAAGCCAGTAAGCAGCATTCCTCCATGGTCTCTGCAGCAGTTCTTGCCTCGAGGTTCCTGCCCAGTTTGAGTTCCTTCCATGAAAACTATGTTGTGGAAGTCTAAGCAGAATAGACTGTTTATTCCTAAATTGCTTTTGGTCATGGTGTTTTATCACAGCAGTAGAAACCCTGATACATATATGTTGTGTACATATAAATAAACCGTGTGTGTGTGTGTGTGTGTGTGTGTGTGTGTGTGTGTGTGTGTGTGTGTGTGTGTTTTACACACAGTATATATGTGGTGGTTTGAAAGAAAATGCCCCCATAGGGAGTAGCACTATTAGGATGTGTGGCCTTGTTGGAGTAAGTGTGTAAGTGTGTGTGGCTTTGCTGAAGGAAGTGTGTCACTGTAGGGGTGGATTTTGAGGTCTCCTATGCTCAAGCTATTCCCAGTACAACAGTTTATTTCCTGTTGCCTGTGGATCAAGTTATAGAACTCTTGAATCCTCTAGCACCATGTCTACTTACATGCTGCCTTGTCCTGCCATGATAAGGGACTAAACCTCTGAAACTGTAAGCCACTCAGTTAAATGTTTTCCTTTATAAGAGTTGCTGTGGTCATGGTTTCTCTTTACAGCAATAGAAATCCTAAGAACATACATATATGGTGTCATACAGATGATGTCTATAGTGTTAGGATACTATTTATTTTTGGGTCATTTTTTAATTTTTATTTTCTACTGTATATCCTCCATAAGAAAACACATAAAGATGTATGGTGATATTTTATTTGTACTAAAATGTGATTTGTATGTTAATAAATAAAGTTGCCTGGGGGTCAGAGCTAATAGCAAGCCTTAGCAGAAGCTGGGCGGTGGTGGTGCACGCCTTTAATCCCAGCTCTTGGGAGGCAGAGCTAAGCCGATCTTTGTGTGTTCAAGGATACAGCCAGCATGGAGACACACACCTTTAATCTCAATACCAACCATAGAAGACCTGGAGGTCTGACTAGGAGGTCATGTGGTTGGGTTTACGACCAATGAGAAGGCAGAGCAGAAACACTATAAAAAGACAGACACACAGGAAGTAGGTCTCTTTTTCGGAGAGGTAGGGCAACAGCGACAGTGAAGGGTAAGGTTTTTAGCTCTTAGCTATTGCTCTGACCTCTTGCTTTCATCTCTGTATTGGCTCTGTGTTTCTTATTTAATAAGACAGTTGGTTACATCTACAAAGATGTGGTGCTGGTGGATACCTTTAATCCCAGCAGATCTCTTGCATTTCAAGCTAGCTTGGTCTACATAGTGAGACTCTGTATCAAACAACAGAAGTCTCCAAACCATAAAGAAGCATTTAAGAATCAAACTGGATGGTCTTTGTTTTCCACACCAGTCTTAGCCATCATGTTTTTCCTTTGCCTAGAACCTCTTATAGTCTTTTAGTGTATTCAGAAGAAAAGTCCTAATTCAGCCATGGCTAACTAGGTCTTCCTGCTACTCTTCCATTTATCTCTGCCCTCACATAGGACTCCCTGTGTTCATTTTGCTTCAGCCACCGTGGCCCTCTTGCCATTTCCTAAGTAAATCAAGCATTGCTTTCAGGGGTTGCTGTCCTCATGTGTATCTTTCCTCAAACAGTTTCTCAATGAAACCTTCCCTGACTAACTTGTGTAAATTGTATTATTGTTCCTTGAAAAAAATACACATGCATACACACAACCGTAAACATAGATTTAGAAAACAACCCTACGTGTCCATATGTTGGTTTGTTATTTTTCCTTCACTTTAGATCAACTGACTGCTTCTATCTAAAGTTAACCTTACCACTGTGTTGTTTTTGCTCTTTGGTCTTTGGCTCTTCAGCTCTTTTGAGGGGCCTGACACCCAGCTACCAAATAAATACATACGAAGGCTTATTATTTTTATAAATGACCGGGCTTGGCTTGGCTTGTTTCTTGATGGCTTTCCTTAACTTTAAATTATCCTATCTACCTTTTGCCCCTGGGCTTTTTCCTTTTCTTACTTCTGTATATCTTATTTTCACTCTTACTCTGTGGCTGGTTGTGTGGCTGGATGACTGGCCCCTAGCATCCTCCTCTCCTTGTTCTCTTGCTCTTCTTTTCCTCCAAGATTTGTTCTATTTATTCTCTCTGCCTGCCAGCCCTGCTTATCCTTTTTGTGCCCAGCTATCAGCCATTCAGCTCTTTATTAGCCCAATCAGGTGTTTTAGACAGATGAAGTAACACAGCTTCACAGAGTAAAACAAATGCAACATAAAAGAATGCAACACACCTTTGCATCATTAAACAAATGTTCCACAGCATAAACAAATACAACACATCTTAAAATAATGTTCCACAATGCCACTGGACCCAGGTTCTCTCCTATCTGCTCAACTTTCAAAATACCAAATATTCTTCTCCTTGATATTTATTAGCATATAAATATGCTGGCTTTTACTCAAAAACTTCTGTATCAAAGTGGAGTTAGGGGGATCAGGTCTAACCTGCCTGAACTAGTGGCGAAGGCACATTAGAAGCAAAGGATGGTGAGACTGGAGACAAATTAGTTAGATGTCAGGTGTTTGTCATTGCTGGATTTCCCAGACCACCACCTGGGGAAGGGAGGAGCAAAGTTTAGCAGTCTGCCTACTTGGAAAAAGTGGACTTGCTCAGAAAGAGGACATGAGTTCTCCAGAAGATTCTGCCCAGGAATTTGAATAATTATGAGCACACATAAAACAATCCAAAAACTCAAGGTAGAGGACCACTAGAAGTCACAAGGCCAAAATCCACCTTATAACCCTCAGGGCATTCTCTGGTGGGTTTTTTTTTTTTTTTTTTTTTTGGTTTTTCAAGACAGGGTTTCTCTGTGTAGCTTTGCGCCTTTTCCTGGAACTCACTTGGTAGCCGAGGCTGGCCTCGAACTCACAGAGATCCGCCTGGCTCTGCCTCCCGAGTGCTGGGATTAAAGGCGTGCGCCACCACCGCCCGGCCTCTCTGGTGGTTTTTAAGAGCGATTTTGCCTGGAGGGAGATAGAGCAGTGTCTGAACACAGTTTTGTCACACCAGGTGTAGGGGATCACAGAGGCTTCCTAGTAAGACCTTACTCAAGGTCAGAGAATCTGAGCTTGCTTTACCCAGCAGGGCTGCATAATAGGATGATTTGGCCAAGGGCATGGCTACCAGGTGTTGTGAAGGGTCTACATTTGGCTGTACATTGTGCTTTGATTTTGAAAGGGGGAAGTCTTTGCCTCTCCGCTTGGTAGTATATAAAAAGCCCATTAGAATAAATCTCAAGGTATCTGGGTATTGACCCAGGGCCCTCCCGAAGCTATCCTGTGTCTCTGTCTTTCTTGTCATTTCTGCCTATATTTCTAATACTTCTTTATTCCTCTCTCCTCCTCTCAAGGACCCTTTGACAGGTTGGAGCTGAACTCCCACAACTAGGGAATATGTCCACTACTGGCATCTACTGGGTAAAGGCCAGAGAGGTAGCTAAACTGTACAATGCTTAACTGTATTTGCCACAAATGGTTTGTAGTGATGTTGAAGAAGTTTGGGGTTAAAGTACCAGGAAGTCTTAAGTCCAGAAAAGAACCCTAAATTAGATGTGGCTTGAACAAAACTTAAGAGCTAAGACTTGGATAAAAATGAACAAGTCCCAGAACAATTAAGATATTTAGCAGCCCACAAGACACTATAAAGCCTGGTGTGGTGGCACATCTCATCACTCAGGAAGCAGATTCAGGAGGATCCGAAGTTGAAGGCTAACCTAGGCCATGTGGTAAGACCATGTAACAAAATATGTTTGGCATACATTAAAGAATTTTACCATCTACACCTGCCCTACTTGTTTTTGCCAACTTGACCCATGCTAGAGTTATCTTGGAAAGCAGAACTTCATGTGAGAAAATGCCTCTATCTGGGTGACCTGTCAGCAAGTCTATTGGGCATATTTTTGGTTAATGACCGATATGGGTGGGCCTAGCACAAAGTGGGCAGTGCCACGCCTGGACAGGTGGTCCCGGGTGTAGATGTAACCAACTGTCTTATTAAATAAGAAACACAGAACCAATGCAAAGAAGAAAGCCAAGAGGTCAGAGCTAAGAGCTAAAACCTTACCCTTCCTCCTGCGGTGGTCTTACCTCTCCGAACGAGAGCTACTTCCTGTGTTAAAGTCTTTATAAAGACTTTCGGTTCTGCCTTCTCATTGGTTGTAAACCCAACCACATGACTGCCTTGTCACTGCTGTCTGTCATAGACCTCCAGGTCTTCTATGGTTGGTATTGAGATTAAAGGCATGTGTATCCAATGCTGGCTGTATCCCTGAATACACACAGATCTACCTAGCTCTGCCTACCAAGTGCTGGGATTAAAGGCATGCGCCACCACCGCCTGGCTTTCCTATGGCTTGCTAATAGCTCTGACCCCCGGGCAACTTTATTTATTAACATACAAATAACATTTTAGTACAAAATAAAATATCACCATACCCGGGTGCTATAAAAAAGCAGGCTCAGCAAGCCAGTAGTGTTCTGAGATGGCTTTTGTTTTAGTTTCTACCCTGATTTTCCTCAGTGATGGTGTGTGGCTTCAGAGTTGTAAGGTGAAATAACCCCCTTCCTCCTCAAGTTGCTTTTGGCCAGGTCTTATCACAGCAATAGAAACCCTAAGACACATCAATGAATAAATAAAATATGAAGTTAAAATACCTTGGTGGGAGTACAGCTCAATGGCAAGGTGCTTGCCTAGCATATAAAAGTCCAAGGTTATGATGGCATGGGCCTAGGAGAGCTGGCTCTGCCCCTTGCCTGAGAAGGGCAGTCCAAGTGGCCCAGACTGACCAGCTCAGCTACCACCCAGACCCATGTGCTGGGTCTTGGGTTGGCCTACCCCGTCTATGACTTGCTGGTGTGTGTGAAGGGACTGGTCTTGAGGAATGATAACAGTAGGATTTCCATGACTCGGGCAACAGCAGGATATCCAAGAGGAATTTTGGTGAGGGGTCAGTGATGATGGTGTGCCGGGCACCTTGAACCAGAACAATGACTCATTGCAATGAACATTTTGTGGGTGGGGCTGATTGGACAAAATGGTGTACTGTGTAACACACCACAGCTCCCAATGCCACTAGGATGATGAAGAAGTGTTGGAAAGATGGAGGAGCGAGGTGGTGTGTGAGTGTGCGTGTGCATGTGCGTGTGCGTGTGCGTGTGCGTGTGCGTGTGCGTGTGTGTGTGTGTGTGTGTGTGTGCAAGTGTGCCATGATGGAGGTCAGAGGACAGTTTGTGACAGAATTATCACAGAGTCCTCAGATGAAGGTCTCAGTCCCCCAAGACTGTTCCCTCCAACTTTAGCAAAAGATTGCATATCTGTTTTCTTCACTGGTGCTTTGGGCTGAATATATGTCAGAAGTTTCTACAAACCCATCCATGGGTTTGATCATTTGCTACAATGATTCTACTAAACTGAGGGTAACAGTTTACTTACTAGATTAGTGGTTATTAAAATAAGAACACAACCCAAGATGTCAGAAGAGCTGCATGTGACAAGGTGTTTTAGAAGGAAAAGACCTTTCATCTACAGGAGTGCCACCTTTTAGTTTCAACAACCTGGATGCTCTGAATCCTGTCCTTTAGGCTTTTCTAAAGGTTCCTTACATATATATTAGCAAATCACTGGCCACTGGTAATTGAACTTTATTCTCGGAGGTCAAGTTGGGGTGGAGTGGGACCGAGTTTTAGTTCTATCGTTTGGCTCCCCTGTCAACCAGCTCCAATGGTTCTAAGGTCTTCCCAAAATTACTTTATTGACAAATTTTTGTGGAGTTAAAGAGGGTCTGTTGTAACAAGACAAAATTGTTCTTTAAAAACATTTTTAAAATCCTGTATAAGTTGCTTTGTCTGCATGTACGCCATGTGTGCCCAGTGCCTTCAAAGGTAAGAAGAAGGTATTGGATCCCCTGGCACTGGAGTTACGGAGAGCCATGAGCTGCCATGTGGGTGCTGAAATTTGAACCCAAGTCCTCTGCAAGAGCAGCCAGTGTTCTTAACTACTGAGCCATCTCTTCAGGCCCTGTCTTAATTGTTTTTTTTTTTTAACTTAGGGAAGTCAAAGTGTTTTAGAAATTACATGTCAGAGATGACAGTCAAATACAGTTGCTTACATGGCGTGGCTTTCTGAAGTTTTAGTTACCTAGTTAAGCTTGTTCTTAAAATATAAATGGGAAATTCTAGAAATAATTCAATTTATGAGCCATATGAACCTTGAACCTTTCTGCACATCCTCCAGGACGTGAATTGTTGCCTATTTTATCTTCCCGATTAGTCATTTGGTGGCTGTCTGGACCATCAGCTTCAGTCTCCATACTCTCACTGCTTATGTTCAAATAATCCTTACTTTCCTGAACAATGGCCCCAAGATGAAGAGTAGTGACGCTGGCAATTAAGATATGTTGAAGAGAAGACAGTATTATTATTATTACCTGTACCAGAAAGAGTGGAAAGTTTTCATTTAAGAGAAGAGAAAAATCTGAGGATGTTACAGTCTACAGTAAGGATAAATCTTGTGAAATTGTGAAGGGAAAATTTATTATCATTCTGACATCTCAAAATGCAAATAATAGACATGTGTGCAGTAAGCGCTAAAGCAATGAAGTGGCGTTAGGGATGCAGGGCTGACCACGTGACACGGAGGGCCCGTGTCTTCCGAAATGCACAGCCACCACAGCGAGAGACTTTTGCTCTGGCTGTACAGCATGTTTGTACCAGATGCTGCTGCCACTCTTTAGCTGCTTCAGGTGTCTCCATATCCACAAAGGACCCCTCCCCTGCTCACAAACCATAATTGCATAAAGCCTGCAGCTCCTCAACGGGACACCATGAACATATGGGAGTCCATTCCTTTTGCCTACGCAATCTGCCGCTCCTTTCATCCTGCCGTCAGCTATGCATCGCTGTGGCGTAAGTACCAATGGCCTCTCTGCTGGATGGTTTTGCACATTTATGATTCTGCGGTGGAGCAGGCTGGCTGGTTTCCTTAGAACTGTTACCACCGAGAATGGCTGGTAACTAGGGCTGGGAACGTCTAGCTCCATCTGTTAGAAAAACTGCACGAACTGCTGGTAACTGATAGTTCTGGCTGTGAGAAGAGCAGCGAAGACACCACCACTAGGATCCGAGTCACCGGCACTCGAAGTTTGGAGCTGTTAATTAGGAACTGAGAACCTCTATTACTAACACAAAAGGTGATGCACTTTGCCTATTTGTAGTCTACCTGAATTTAGCAAGACTACCAGCTGATTGATAAAGTTCTATGCCTTGGGACATATCCCCCATGGATACCATGGAACTACTGTATTTACAGTACCACAATACCACAGTTCCACTTTTGTTCAATTGATGGTAAAATAGTCACGTTATTCGTTAAAATAATTTTTTCATGTGTTCAGAGGCTGTGAAGTGATTTCAGACCAATAAAATTTTGGTCTGCATTACTGAAAGTTAAACTAGTATTGCTGTGTCCGCCACAGGGACGCATGCTCACTAGGAAAACCCAAACTAGACCACCACCACCAAATTACTGCAACAAAGGGACATGGGGTTACACAGGGAATGTATAGACACCCAGCTTGAGCACTGGACATAACTCTCCATCTTTTAGAGGATATGTGTGATGTCAGTATTAATATCATTTTAATGACAGGATTTACGGTTTCCCTACGTTCTCTGAAATGACTTCTGATATGCAGTTGGTAATTGAGACTGAGTAAAAGTTTGGGCTTCTAGGATATGTATGAATATATTTCCCTCAGAATTTTGATTGAGACTTTCCACATTGATTTTTTAAAAATGGTAAGTTCTGCATTAATGCCTTATATTTTTATAATGATATCTCTGTGAATTAACTCAATAAAAGATTTCTCTTAGGTTATGGCAAAGGTAAGAGTTTCTATTTTTTGTCTACTGATTCATTTTTTTAAAAGTTATGAACAATGAAGGTTTTCACACAACTCCCAGAGCCCCTTAGAATTTTCTTAATATCAGTAATTCTGAGTTCAAAGTTAAAGTCTTATAAAATTCATTTTTCCAGTACTTTTGGAATGGAGCATGGGTTGGACGTTGGTTAAACCCTTTTCATGGTCAGTATAGCATTGGTAAGACTTTTGTTCTAGTATGGTGCCAGAACTTGTGCACTCCAGGTTTTCCCACATTTATCACATTTATGCAGTCTTCCTCCTCAGAATGGATTTTTCCTTTTTCTTTCTTTCTTTCTCCCTTTCTCTTCCTTCCTTCCTATTTCTTTTTTTCCCCTGCTCCCAGGCAGGGTTTCTCTGTGTAGCCCTTGTTGTCCTGGAGCTTGCTCTGTAGATCTGGCTAGCCTTGAACTCAGAAATCCTCCTGACTTTGCCTCTCAAGTGCTGAGATTAAAGGCATGCACTATCACCACCTGGCTAGGATGGATTTTCTTAAAGTACCAAGATCAGGTTTATTAAAACATCTGCTACCCTGACCATGAGGGCAGAGCTTCTCTTCTCTCTGCATCCTCTGATGTTCAGTAACAACGGTCACGGTGCTGAAGGGTTTCCCACAAGTATCATACTTGTAGTTTTTCACCAGTGTGGATTCTTTGATGGTTAATGAGATCAGAGCGCCTACTAAAGCTTTTGCCACATTGAACACATGGGTATGGTTTCTCTCCAGTATGGATTCTCTGATGAAGGGTTAGAGCTGAGCACTGACTGAAAGCCTTCCCACACACATTACATTTATATGGTTTCTCTCCAGTGTGGATTCTCTGGTGTTTAATAAGGTCTGAATTCTGACTGAAACTTCTGGTGCACTGTGTACATGCATATGGTTTTTCTCCCGTGTGGATTCTATGGTGAAGGATAAGGTCAGAACTCTGACTGAAGGCTTTGTCACAGCTGTCACAGTGGTAGGGCTTGTCACCAGAATGTATTCTCTGATGTTTAGTGAGATCTGAACTTTGACTAAAACTTTTATTGCACAGATTACATGTATATGGTTTTTCTCCAGTATGTATTCTTTGATGCTTTATGAGATCTGAACGGCGACTAAAACTTTTAGAACAACCACTGCAAGGATATGGTTTTTCTCCAGTGTGGATTCTCTGGTGGAGAATAAGGTTGGAACTCTGACTAAAAGTTTTACCACATTCATCACATTCATAGGGCTTCTCCCCAGTATGGGTTCTATAATGTTTAATAAGATCTGACCTTCTACTAAACATTTTACTACACTGACTACATGGGTAAGGCTTCTCTCCAGTGTGAATTCGTTGATGATTAATAAGATCTGAAAGCCTACTGAAGGTTTTGATACACTGATTACATAGATAGGGTTTCTCTCCAGTATGAATTCTTTGATGCAGAATAAGAACTGAGCTCTGATTAAAAGCCTTTCCACATTCATTGCATTTATATGGTTTCTCTCCAGTGTGAACCCTTCTGTGTTTAGTAAGGTCTGAACTCTGACTAAAACTTTTGTTACACTGACAACATGAATATGGTTTCTCCCCAGTATGGATTCTCTGGTGTAGAGTAAGATCGGAGCTCTGACTAAAGGCTTTCCCACAAACGGCACACTTATACGGCTTCTCCCCAGTGTGGATTCTTTGATGTTTTATAAGATCAGAACTCTGACTGAAATGTTTGTTACACTGGTTACACATATAAGGCTTCTCCCCAGTGTGGATTCTCTGATGTTTAACCATGTCTGAGCGCTGGCTAAAACTTTTACTACAATGACTGCATTGATAGGGTTTTTCTCCTGTATGGATTCTCTGATGTATAATAAGATCCGAGCTCTGACTGAAGGCTTTCCCACATGCATCACATTTGTAAGGTTTTTCACCAGTGTGGATTCTTTGATGTTTAATAAGGTCTGAGCTCCGACTAAAACTTTTAATACACCAATTACAAGGGTAGGGTTTCTCTCCAGTATGAATCCTCTGATGCAGAACCAGGGCTGAACTTACACGAAAGGCCTTCCCACACTTATCACATTCATAAGCTTTTTCCCAGTGAATTCTCTGGTGCCTAACAAGACCTGTATTCCAAGCAAAGCTTTGGCCACATTCATTACAGTTATACTGTCTTCTTTTTAAGAGGTTCTGGTCATTCAATTCATCCCCCAGTTCCCAGAATTCTTTGCCTTTGGAATTCTGGAGAGCATCCTCCTGGAGGCTGCCAGATTCTTCAGTCAGTGTTTCAATGTTTCCTGTCATCTCCTCCTCTGAAGCTGGCTCTCCAATCTTGATCTTAGTCTCACCATCTGGAACAGTAAACAAAATCCAAATGCAAAATGTGCTCCATGTTGTAAAGTCCCAGATGACACAAATCAATATTTATCTATAGATATTACAATAAGAGATGCTGTGGATATCGCTCTATATAAATAAAACACTGATTGGCCAGTAGCCAGACAGGAAGTATAGGCGGGACTAGCAGAGAGGAGAATTGAGGGAACAGGAAGGCAGAGGGGGGGACTTCTGTAGCCGCTGCCAGGACAAGGAAGATGTAAGGTACCAGTAAGCCATCAGCCACGTGGCAAAGTATAGATTAATAGAAATGGGCTAAATATAAGAGTAAGAGCTAGACAATGATAGGCCTGAGCTAGTGGCCAAGCAGTTTAAATAATATAAGCGTCTGTGTGTTTATTTTATAAGTGGGCTAAGGGACTGCCGGGGCTTGGCGGGACCCGGTGAGAAAACTCCAGCTACAAAGAGGGGAGGATATGGTACAGGTGGCCCTTGTGGTTAAGGTAATGGACTGCAAATGAGACAGGAGGCTTCCCAACATGGAGAAACACTGAAGAAAACCGTGAAGAATCAACACGTAATGGATCACACTTTTGTAGAAAGGATTTATCAGATACAAAGGTATGATTTTCACAGAAGACCTGGGAAAACTGAAATTGATTCACTATGATAATAAAAGTGTGGTTAGATTAGAGCTAACAATTTATTAATACACTTAAAGCAAACAGTATAAAAAGTGTAAGAAAGGGAAGTTGGTTGGGTTTTATCTAGGAATGCTCAGGAATTTAGGCTAAAAGTAAGGTGCTAAAGAAAAATAATGAATAAGAAATAAAAACCCTTCAATTCCTTTACATCTGCCTTTAAGAAACAGTAAAACATTGTTATTACATGCAAAGAAATGCACTGTATTCTAAACACCTTGTACAAAAAAGTCCCAAGCAGGATCAATTCCAGTACAGCAATCAGTTGAAAACTGAATTTGATATAACAACATCTATCTATTGCAAAATAACTCTGATACTTTTTATTATCTTCTCCAGATGGAACTACAGTTGTCATCACAAACAACAAGAGGGCAGAGAAGTAAGATGGCCAAGTTGTTCGACTTTCTCAAACTGCATGTGTTAATGAGAATAACAAGAAATCGACTTTCACACCAAGACTGGTTTCATTTTTTTTAGGTGTATGACAGTACACTTAAAAATGTATGTGTGTTTTGTTTGTGTGTTTATGCCATGTGTGTATAAGTGTCCTCCAAAGCCAGAAGAGGGTGTCAGATGTTCTGGAGCTGGAGTTATAGGTAGCTGTGAACTGTCCCACATGGATGCTCTAGAACAGTGGTTCTTAGCCTTCCTAATGCTGCGACCTTTAATACAGTTCCTCATGTTGCGATGAACCCAACCATAAAATTATTTTATTGCTACATCATAACTAATTTTGCTACTGTTATGAATTATAATGCAAATATCTGATATGTGACCCAAGGGGTCACAACCCACAGATTGAGAACTACTGCTTTAGGAGACCAGCAAGTACTCTTAATCACTGAGCCATCTCTTCCGCCTCCAAGGACAGATGTAAAACATGAAGGGCATAATCATAACTATTTAGACTGAAGTTTGGTGCCATGTCAACTTAGTTAAACCACAACAGTCAAGTCCTCCCCTAGGGTCTATCCCCGGCCATGAGTTTCTAACGGGTCTGACAGTATCAGGCATGTATCTCCCCTGCCAAGCAGGCATCAAATCTAATCCGCCAGTGCTTGTTTGCCCTCAGAACAGCTGTGCTGCTGTTGTACCAGTGGCCCCATCCTGCTTGGCAATTAGCACTGTGGTTTGGAGGTTCACAGCCAAGTGAGGCCTTGAGCCCTCTTCTCCAGGTTTCATAGCACCTCCAGGCACCATGGAAGCTAGCCGTAGTAAGGATGCTTCCAGCTCATTTTCAACTTGCTTTCTGGCAACCAAAGGCATGATGCCTTTGACAGTAGGATTTATTTTCTTATAAGATCTTAATTCTGGTGAGCAACCAAGAGGAATGGCAATAGTCTGTGTTGCTTGGGGACTCTCTGGGGCCTCCTTGGCCAAGTACTCATAAGAAGGTATTCCTTCCATACTTGGAATTGAAATTTTTGTTTGATAAACAATGGCCTCTAGGAATAGCATTATCCAGCCATCCAGGACATCTAGACTATCCTATCTAACTGTTTTCTTTTGTTTGTTTGTTTGTTTGCTTGTTTTGGTCTTTGAGACAGGGTTTCTCTGTTTAACAGTCCTGGCTGTCCTGGAACTCACTTTGTAGACCAGGCTGGCCTCCAACTCACAGAGATCCACCTGCCTCTGCCTCCTGAGTACTGGGATTAAAAGTGTGGACCACCCTGCCCGGCTACTAACTATTTTTTAACTTAGCTATTTTGAAACCAGATTATAAAGTACTGAGTTTCCATATGACTTTGTCGTGTAGCCTTCACACTGGTTAACCTGTGCTCCCAAACCCCTCATTTCCTGTACCCCTCCACCTCCGTTCCTGCTTGACTTCTTCAATGCCCAATGTCGCCCCCCCTACTTTAATACCCATAAATAAGTGCTACTTCCATCCTTAACCAGAGAAGCTTCTCTGTGCGGAGGACGGCAGTGAATACAGAAACTCAGGGCTGTTCAGGTGCTTAGAACGACAGTTCAGCTCTCAGTCATAACCAGGACATTCGTGCCACTCCCTTTAAAGCACAGAGAATACTGTGGAGGCAAAGAATAGAAAGGATGAAGGAGCTAGAAGAGATGTGAAATTCTATTTTAGGATGTAACATAGCCATGGCAAACATGATCTCAGGGTAGCTGTGGCTGCCTGTACTGGGTTTGCACAAGGTAGAGCCTGTTAGAAGCTAATTCCAGATCAGGGAGAAGCTCATAGGACCCTACTCAACTTGCTGAACTACTGCTGACTGATGGAATCTGGGGAGGGACAGTTACTACCTTCAGTGTGTGCCAGCGAGCCCACCAGGATCCAGTGAATGACCCACCAGGATCCAGTGAATGACCCACCAGGATCCAGTGAATGATCCAAACCTGTTGACACACAGACGATCCTGGCTAAAATCATACAACGCAAACAAACAGGAATGAACGTGGGAAAGGGACTTGTAGGGAGGAAGGGGACAACAGGGGTGGCGTAAAGATAAGGGGTGGAGTAAGAGGGAACAGGATGTGCTATATACATTATGAGACTGTCGAAGCACAAATTTAATCAGCAAATATTCATCAACAAAAATTTAAGGTCAACATTGAATTACTATAGCACAAGCAGATACCTTTAAATCCCCAGACAGTCACACAGTGGCACACAGGTCCCTTCTATACCAGCACATGGAACTCTCTGTTTCCACATTTTACCCAAAAATTTGGAGGTGTGCAACTGAATGAGCAATACTATAACTTACTAATTAAGCTTCTAGCTTATGGAGAGGAGGCAGAAGGATCAAGGGTTCAAGATCATTTTTAGCTATTGCATTTGAAAGGGTGAGTCATGCCTGGCTTGGTGCTAAGAGTGCACATATTAAATGCCATGTTGTGGTGTTTTAGTGGTGGCTTTTAGCATACTAGGGATTGAACCAGGACTTTTCACCTCATAGGCAAATGACCTATCATTGAGTTACACCCCAGATCTTCAGCTAACTTTCTTTCAAGTTACATAGCATATTTTCCTCTTTTAAAGCATGAACAGTATTTACCTTCCCAAACATAACACATTGAATGATATGGAGAGTAAACTTGACCAGTTCCTTACCTAGAGCATAACTTATCAGTTCCATCAAAAGTTTGGACTCTGGAATGTAGTGAAGTTCTTCAGTCTCCTTTACCATTTGCGGACTTTCAACATGCTTTTGAGTGAGTTAGTCCAGGTCCTTTCCACACATTGAAGTTGTCTTCCAAATCTTCATTGTGCCAACTGAAGATGTCCAGCCTATTGCAGCTCTAGGGCCTCACCAGGCTCCACCCTGGCACCTGAAGGCATAGATCTTCCCACACATACACTGGCAGAGTTATGTTGACAGAAAAAGGCTGTCCATGAACAGTAACCAATGGCACAAACAATTCAGTTTGGTTAATTAGAAGGCCATCATTTGTCTTGTTCTTATTAAGAGCCCTTCGGGTGACTGCCGGAGCTGTGGATTCAAGGCAAGCGTGTTTGGAAGGGCCATCACTTCTACATGTCAAGGGTTGAGTTCTAAGAGTCATGGCAAACCAGCATTTGAGTTCACAGACCACAGCAAGCACAGTGATTGCCTAGCTATCTCGTTCACACCACTGAACTCCTTAGCTCCCAAGTCCTTGGTATAAACTATGACCCCACTTGTCAGAGGAAACTCTTTAGAAATAACTCCTCCGGAGCCTCTTTAGCAAGAATTCTCCCAATTCCTCAGTCAGCTTATCAGGACCCAATCCCCTCAGAGCTGAACTCTAAAGAGCCTGTCCCCTCAGTGCTGAACTCTTCAAAGTGACTTCCAGAACCTGCTCTTCACCATCTGACCCTTCAGGACCACCTCAGTGCTGACCTCCTCAGCACCGACACCTCAGAACTAACAACTCACAAGGCCAAATTCTTCAATGTGAACCCCATCAGGACTCTGCAGTGTGACCCCCATCAGGTGTCTCCAGTGTGACCCCCAGCAGGACTCTGCAGTGTGACCCCCAGCAGGAGTCTGCAGTGTGACCCCCATCAGGTGTCTCCAGTGTGACCCCCAGAAGGACTCTGCAGTGTGACCCCCAGCAGGACTCTGCAGTGTGACCCCCAGAAGGAGTCTGCAGTGTGACTCCCAGCAGGACTCTGCAGTGTGACCCCCAGCAGGTGTCTCCAGTGTGACCCCCAGCAGGACTCTGCAGTGTGACCCCCCCAGTAGAACTCTCTAGCAGTGGTCCCCCCTCTTTGGGAACTTTACAAAGCCTGGCTCTTAGCACTAAATGCTTCAGCACCTGGATCCTCAGCAAGAACTGTCTGGGAGTGACCTTCAACTCTGTACTGTTACGTATGTAAATCACCAGACCCTATGTTTACAGACATTAGGTTAATTAACCTCCATCCAAGCAAAGCTGCCAAAATGGTAGCAATTCACCTGACTTCTACCCCTAGTGATTGTACATTTTCCCCCTTTTATGCAGTACAGGTATATGCCTAGGCAGGTGGGAACTTCCATAGACTCGGGATGCATTACAATTACTGGTTGTTACAAGAGGTAAGTCTGAGGCTAATCACTCAGTTGGTGAGAAAGTTCCCCTACAGAACAGTTAGTGGCGACTGCAACACCCCTGGAGCACCACTGGAGCGTTCAGCACCTGCCTCCTCAGCACAGAACTTTCATCTAGCTATCTCCAGGCAACTGGAGGGTGCTAAGAACTATTAAAATGGGCTAAAAATCACTAATAGTGTCGGGCAAGTTCTTTACATTTATTTTCCTATGAACAAGACAAGATGTTGACACCCATCCCCCCTGCTGCCCTAGCTAACTTGAGTAAAAAGACTACCAGACCAACAGCCAGCTGGACTACCCTTATGCCATACTCAGCCACCTAGAACACCCCACAGACACCGTGAAAATAACAGGGAGGCCACAGCTGCTGCACAGCCTCACCAGGGCTGTCTAAAAAAGTTTTGGCCAGAGGTTTATCACAATCCTCAGCGCATTCTCTCTCTCTCTCTCTCTCTCTCTCTCTCTCTCTCTCTCTCTCTCTCTCTCTCTCTCTCTCTCTCTCAGCACCACATCAATGTCTCAATGTATTCTAAATGACTCTGCAACCACTTCCATCTAGGCCAGGAAAAGGACGCAAAGGACGCATTTGCCCTGGTGGTCTAGGAGAGATACTGCCATGCCTAGTGCTAAAAAACAAGGCTGAACCAGTAACTGCATTTGCTGCTAAGACAAAAGGCTGTGACTGGTCCAAACAAATAGCTACAATTGATCCAACTGAAAAAAAAAAAAAGATTGGCTTAAACACTCCTCTTTAACTAAGCAAGCCACCAGAGACATTTTTTTCTGCTACTCCAGTGATGTTGTAACACTAGGATTTACTCAAGTATCCTTTCCTGCTGGTGGCAGGCCGGGTTGCTCAAGGGCAAGGAAGTCGGCTTTCTGAAGCAGCTACTAAACAACTGTGGCCAGGGCGGAAGCTGGGCAATGGAGTGGAGAGCAAGAGAGGACAGAGCGCTGGGGTGGAAGGACAACAGGCTGTAAGGAGCAAGAGAAAGGCAATTACAGGCTTTAGTTGACAGAAGAGTTTGAGAGAGTTACCATGTTGGGGTCCAGGTAGAACCAAAGGCCCTTTGAAACCCTGTGGATGGAACAGGAGTGCTGGATTTTGTTCCCTGCCAGAGTCCTGATTGGCAAGACCAGCAATGGACCCATCCCACGGTTCTAGGGGGTCCAAGGCCTAGGCCTGGGGCTTGACAGTTTCACTGTAAAGGGGTGGCCAAATGTTCTAGACACAGATGCTTACAGTATCAGTATGTACCCTGCAAAGAGGAACTAGAGGTTCTCAGTAATTCTGCTGTCCAATGAACTTTACTAATTTATTGTTTGCTCCCCATCTGAGGACCATATAAGGAGCTATGGCACTAATAAACGTGATGGCTTGGGTGATCAGCATTGCATCCCTCCTGACCCCAGTGTTTAAGTCTTCCTTTCTCATCCCTGGTCTCCCCATTTGGAGTCCCAGCATGAACCCCGGAAGAACCTCTGGTCCAGTCCACTATCAGGTCTTCGGAGGCAAAGGTTTAAGAGGTGTCGGACCACCAGGTGTGAAGGGCTCAATGTGCAAGGCCTGCACCAACACTGTAACGGAAGCGGCTGTCATGTGCTGCCTCTTCTACTTGCCTACTGTCTGCTGCTCAGTGCGGCACACTAAGGGGATAATGGTTGCCAGAGAGCAGCACTTGATGACTTCTCCTTACCTACCGATGAGTTTTTCTGGGTTGTGCCAAAGGACCTCCAGCCAAGTGGTAATTTGGAGAGCTTTCTTTGACTACTGTTCGAGTTTAGTTGCTGTTGCTAAAATACCTTACTAACAAGCTACTTAGGAAAGAAATTACTTAGTTTATTTCAAAATTCCAGATTATAAGACATCATTGTGGGGAATTTACAGCCGTGGGAGGTTGAAGCAGCTTGTCACAGCATATCTACAGTTTAGAGCAGAGAGATTTGAGTCGTGGACGAACGGCAGGCTGCTTGCTTGGACTCAGCTTGATCTCTCCACTTTTATATAATTCAGGACCCTCTGCCTGGGGAATGCTACTGCCCACTGTGGTTTGGATCTTCCCACATCTAATAACTTAGTAAAGACAATCCCAACAGTCATGCTCACAGGTCAACCCAATATACACAACCCCACAACTGTAACTGAGGCTCTTCTCAGTTAATGTAGGCTGTATCAAGTTGACACCTAAAGCCAACCATCACAAATATGATTCCTGAATTTGGCCTGCCATCACCTCCCACTGCTGACTCACTAACAGGCAAAAAGTAGAAAAATATTTATTGCTCAATTGACCATATACTTGGGTCAACATATGTATTATTTATTCCTATTAATTGCCTTGAATTCTGGAGCCTCTAACAACCTTTCCTAAAAGGCCATGTTTGTATCAGTATCTCATCTATGTCATTTGTGTTGATTAATTTTTTGTCAACTCGACACAAGCTATAGTCATTTGGGAAGAAGGAACCTAAATTGAGAAAAATGCTTCCATCAGATGGCCAGTACACACACAAAAAAATCAGTGGGGCATTTTCTTGGTTAATGATTGATGTGGGAGGGCCTAGCCCAACATGGAAGAGGTGCCACACCTGGGTGGATGACCATGGGTGGAATAAGAAAGCAATCTGAACAAGCCATGGATAGCAAGCCAGTAAGCAGCATTCCTCTATGGTTCTGCTTTAGTTCCTGCCTTCAGATTCCTGCCTTGAGTTGCTGCTCTGATTTCTGTTCATGATAGACTGTAAACTGTAAGCTGAAATAAATCCTTTCTGCTCCAAGCTGCTTTAGGTCATGGGTTTTATCAATCAACACCCCACTCCTGGTACCAATTTCTGCAGTAGTTAGCTGTTGCTAGAATGCTGTGATAAAACACATATACACACAAAATGAATTAATGATGAATTTAAAATTATTTTGTAAATGATATATATGAGCAATATCAAAACATTACTTGCAATGGCTAGAGCATTGGAGCATTCATAGAACCACGTTTAAGAAAAGACGTGATAATAGAGAATAAAAAAACAAAGGCATTATAATAGAAAACTAGACACAGATGATGAAAAAAGTTTTAAAAAATCAAAGAAAATAAAAAGCATGTATATTTAAATCTAAACATATCAACTGTTATATGTAAACTACTCCAACAAAAATAATTTTCCTTGGGAATATTAGTGTCTTTTTAAATTTAAGCTCAATATTTTATACACAGAAAATATATACATTTACTTATATATGGACAGCTATATACAATTTAAATAAATGAAACTAAACTTTCCATTTAGTTTAAGAAAAACAAAATTGCCAGAAATTTTCTTAGAATTTGCAGCATGCTTTCTGTTCCTGTCTCCTTCCAACCTCTTCCTCTACCTATTCTAGTAATGTGTACACTGAACTTTGTGTTTATCCTGCGCTTTTGTTGAAATATTTACCAAATGTCTGTATTTTAAAGAAAATGTTGTTTGGTTTCCCATGTATAATGAAATGAATTATGTTCCTTTCTACCATCATTCATATGTTGAAGTCTTTAATTCTCAATATGAAAGGTATTTAGAAATGAGGCCCTTAATGAGGTCAAATAAGGCCATGGGGTAGGGTTCTAACCCAACAGAACTGATGTATATGTACAAAAGGAAGAGACACCAGGGATGAAGACACACAGAAAAGACATGTGTGGGGAAGTCAGAGGATAAATTACGGAAGGTAGCTGGTTCTCTTCTGCTACCATGCGGGTCCTGGGGTTCAAACTCAGGTTGGCAGGGTGGGTGCTAAGTGTTTTTACCCTCTCAGCCATCTCACAGTACCCTAAAATGACTAAATAAATTGTAGGTTTGCTATTTTTGTTTTTGTTTGAGATATGCTGTAGCCTAGGTTGGCCTGCAACTCATGACAAAATCCTCCTGTCTCAACTCTTGAG